ATGAGGCAGGGGTGGGCATGGAACTCTTCATAAACCATTGAGGGTTTGGAGGAAAAACCATCTGTCCTTAAAAGCTAGTGATACAAATGGTCACAAACCTGTTCAATGTAATACTTTACAGGTAATAAAACAAAATCTGTTCAAGGACAACAAACTTTTATTTATTTCTTGAGTTCAGAATATCACATGAGATTCTTCTTTTACTATTATATTTGTAAATATATTTTGGTTCATTTACCTATAAATTCAGAAATTGCGGGATTGCTTCCAGGAATTTCCAAGTTAAAGAAAGAAGGACTGACATAAGCATTTGATAAGAGATTATGTTTGTTAAGGTATCATTTCACAACTAAATATAGGGCAAAATTGGTAAACATTCTTATCAGTTGTGTTTAATTTAAACTTTAGTCAGGAGACTATTGAGAGACTAAGTCCAGGTAATTAATTCAGACTGAATTCTGGAAACACCCAGAATCATAAATGAAAATAATTAGAACAGTGTTTGTCAACCTTGGCAACTTGAAGATATCTAGACCTCAGTTTTCAGTATTTCCCAGCCAGTGTGCATTAGAATGAGAAAGGCACAGAATTAAATCTAACAATTATTTAATTATTCATTCTAGAGCTGAAGCTTCATTCCCTCTTTCATGGTATGGATTGGGATAATCTTCACAATCAGACTATGCCCTTTATACCTCAACCAAATGATGAAACAGATACATCCTATTTTGAAGCGAGGAATAATGCTCAGCAACTAACAGTGTCTGGATTTAGTCTGTAGGATCAAAAGAAAAAGAGATGAGAAGAGGATTTCATATTTACCATGACAAAGCTTTCTAACACTTATTTTGTAACAATTTCATTTTTAAGAAAAGGATCTGCTTTTAACTCAGTCTTTTTCTGTAAAAGCTATATTGAAATAGTATACAGAAATAGCTTCTGACCTAAATTTTTACTTCAAGTACTGCACTTTATATTAATTGTATTACATAATATAATCATGGTATAATACTTTCCTACTCAAGAAAAATTACTTTTCTGCTGCTATGGGTATTTCCAAATATGGGGAAATGACTGTCTTTGCTATCAGCTGTAACAGGGAAAATTAAATGCATACAATGCAATTACCATTGTGCTTGTAATTATAACATGACACCTCAATATTAAAATATATTTGAAACTGATTTCAGGTCAATCTGGAGCTGTCTTTCTGTATTTTCAGTGCAATCCAAATAGAGATTAGTCTGTTTTCAGGCATTTAATTTATGTATTAGTTATCCTGCTGTTTAAACTGTCAGTATTCCCCAGTGGTCTCTATAATTTTATTGTCAATGTTTTCATTCCTAGTTCATCTAAGAAAACTATGGCACAAGCAAAGCAAGAAAATGTTTAACTATTGCTATGTTTTTGGATAAATTATATTGTCATTTTAAATATTGAAAATGAGAAGTTTTTGCATGTCGGTCTGGAGAAAAAAGAATCTTTATGCATGCTTATTCAATGTAGTATAACTGCAATTCAGCGAAACAGAAAAAATAGTGGGATATTTCAATTACTATGTATTTAAAACATTGAAAATAAAAAATATGTATATATTTTGTAGTGGATAGTTTCTAATTCTCTTTTGAATTAAGTACTGACGTTTGCTTGTTTCAGAATGTATTACTGTTGTAAATAAGAATTTATTTAAATAATATCCAAATTGAAATATTTCTCGATTTTCTTCCATGTCTCCTATAGGGGGCCAAAAGGAGTTTAGTACAATTGTATGTTAGGAGGACTTTAGGATGGGTGCTGGATTACTTTAACTGTTTGATAGCAAGATTCTTTTAGTAGTACATGATCAATTTGGAACAGAGCTTCAGTCTATATTTTTAGTTGGTCTGATTGCATTTCTGAAATTTAATGGATAAACTCTTCAATATTCTCAACTAAAAACATATTTACCCTTTTTCTCTAGCTATTGTATCAAGATAGATTCCTGGCAATAAATTACCTATGATAATTATATCTGATTCTCCGTCCTATAAGTAAAACAGTTATATTATGGACACCTAAAAAATATTGGCAATTTGTTATCTTTCACTGCCAAAAAAGCAAATATTAATAAAAGAAGTGTTATATAATACAAATTTAAAATAAGTCTATATATTACAAAACCATTATCCTGTCCATAATATTTCCTAATCACTTATTCTTCACTTCTAATGTTAATTAATGGACAGATATGAAATCTGATGCATGTCTTCCATTAGGCACATGCCCACTAATTTGATTATCCTTAGAATTTATCCACTTTGTCAATTGCTACTGTATATGAATTAAAAATGGATATCCAGATCACCTGTTGAAATATTTACTGATTTTACCAAAGATAAATGCTTCTATTATCAATTTTGGGGAAAGACAGAATTTTGTTTCTACTGTTTTCAAATGCTTTTTTCTCCCCTCCTTTCTTGGTTCACACTGGAACTCTATAATGCTTTTTTTATTGTCAGTAGGTTGATTGTTGAGATTTAACTTGATATGGTCTCCATGTAAACTCTTAATGTATGCATTTATGTAAAGACTTATATCAGAGTTCATTATTAATCTGGGAGTCATGGCATTTCCCTTAAAGCAGTGGTTCTCAACCTGTGGGTCGGGACCCCATTTGGGGTCGATCGACCATTTCACGGGGGTCGCCAAGCAAGGCTGTCCGCCATTTTTTTTGTCCGCCATTTTTTTTGTCCGCCATTTTTTCCCCTTTTCCGGCAGGTGCCTTACCTCCCTTGGGCTGGGCCAGCTGGTGGTCGGCCTGCTCCGTCTCTGCCGCTTGCCAGCTACGCCTTGGCTGGCGCAGGGGGCAGAGCCACGCATGCGCAGCACTCCCGGGCAGGGAAAGTCCTCGACTTACGACCGGTTGGGTAGTCCTCGACTTACGGCCGGTTTAGTCCTCGACTTACGGCCGGTTTAGTCCTCGACTTACGACCAGTTGGGGTCGCGGCATTAAAAAGGTTGAGAACCACTGCCTTAAAGTTTCCAGCTGGCCTATGATACAAACTGGTATATAATTATTATTTTGTGGGTGTGGGTGTGCTTTTGTCAACATTTTATCCCAGCAATTGACCGGACAGGCTACTGTATTTTTCTTGGCAAGATTTTTTTGGAAGTGACTGGCTCAAGGTCACCCAGCTTGCTTCGTGGCCTAAGGAAGGATTAGAATTCAGTCCACAAGTGTATAATCTGTGCGTTAATCACTTCACCAAAACTGACTCTTACAATTACATAAGACCATTAACAAATCTTAGGGTAATATACTCCTATCATTCCTTTATTTTAAATGTTATTTTACAATAGATTAAAATGATTTATCTTAAAATTTAATTGTAAAAACATGTTCTATGTAATACAGCAGAAGTGTTTGACTTCTGCAATTACAGTATTTGTATATAATAGATATAAAATTGATTTTCAAATTTTGAGACCTTACATTAGAGCAGAATGTTTTCCCACTAGTTTCATCAATTACAGTATAGAACATCATTATCTGGAAACATATCAGCTTTAGTTCATTTTCTTTTTCACCATAATCAGGAGACAATCACTTTAAACTGTATTTTAAAACAGCTGAATATCATATCAACCAAAAAACTTAACCTTTATTGTTTGCTTTCAGTCTATCTTTCTAATTGTATTTAGAAAACTACTACCAGCTGTTATATCCTAATATAAATCTGATCAATAGGCAAAAATGTAATATGATAATGCTACAATGATCATAAAGCAATTTAGAGCAAAAAAAGACTATGAAAGCATTAAAACAGGAAAAGTTAAAAGTTTACAGGAAAACTTTACTGTAACAGTTAAACATTTTGCTTACCTGTTAACAGTAAAAAGGGATGTTCTGGATTCAGCAAGACGCAAACATAACAGAAACAGCCAGCTGTGGCTTCATAGAATATTCGTATCTATACAGGCTGATTGAATTTATAATCAACTGTTGCAGGAAGGCAGGAGTATGTGGTCAAAAGAATGGCCAGTGGTGTGATCCAAATTCTGCCTAAACTTCAATCACACTTACATGGTTGCCACCTTGACTTTTCTGACCATATTCTGCAGATGCACCTGCACAAAGATCTATCTAGTTTGAAGCATTTACAGTACCTTTCCTCAAAGTGACACTCAAAACTTGCTAAATCTGCAACTGTAGCAGACTTAGCAATGACTATAGCTGAAAGATTTACTGTTTTATAAATTTGAGAGGACTTATCTGGTCAAAGAGCTCAAACTTCAGGGGGTGTTTTAACCCTGATGAACATTCAGTCATGAGAACACAGCACCTAGTTTTTGAATAAAAATGGAATCAAATTTAGGGTTCCTGGGTTTGCTTAAATCCCCTGGCAGGGGTGGGTGGGAAGTACCTCCTGTGGCCGTTCTGATGTTGAAAATAGTCGAAAGGAGTTGTATATGCTCTTAACAAGGCATATTACATTTTTTTTTTTAAAAAAAAAAAGTGAGTCTGCCTGCAAGTATCATAGTCTTATTCATTTCGATAGATTTCTTCCAGTGTTGGATACAGTACAATAAATTATCCAGTTCTGATTAGTCAGTGGGAGTAACTTAACAGCAGGGTTGTTTGCATAGCTTTAGATAAGGTATTGCTGTTACCGGTAACACCCTTTCCCACTGGCATCCATTTACAAAGTATTTCTTTACAAATGCACAATAGCATCATAGGGCAAGTTTTTAGTATACAAAACCTATGACTAAGTGTTGGTTAAATTGGATTTTTTTAAATAAAGACAGTACTTGCCTCTTTATTCAATATAAGTGTTTATAACTTGCCTCAAGTTGCACTGAATTTAGTATCTTCAGGGCTGTTTTTATTCTTTATCACGCATTCTTTCCAATGAACTATTTTGAATCCATCATGCTATTTGAGACTCCGTTGGGTGTACATCTCAGTGTATTCTTACACTGAGATGTATGGCTATGCATAGTTTTGTGGCTTTTAAAAATATATAATTTTGGTGGCACCTGTGAAAGCAAAATCAACAGCCTCAAGCATTTACTTTTCTTTATTAAAAAGTTATCACATATAGTAACAGTTAGAAATTAGACTTATTACTCTTAAATGCAATCGTAATTCTGCTTACTTCAGCCTTTGGGGAGGGGGTGTACTGTTTACTCAATCTATTGCATGTCTAACCAAAATGCTGGCATTATAAAACAAATTATACAGCTACAGTACCATGGAATTTTGGGACTCGGGATACATGCTTTCAAGGATTTTTCTTCTCCTTTCTAAAGACTTTTTTTCCCCCAGTAGGAACTGAAAACTAAGACATTATACAAACTGTTCATCAGGAAGGTATTGTCATAATAATTGTAGTTCATATGATTGCTTAGGACAGTTGTATTTGTTCTATTAGAAATATAGTAAAGATGTCTCATTCAAGTATAGAATCTTCAGTAGTGCAAAAAGAAAAAGAAAAAATGTAAAGGAAAAAGACAAGGATGTTTTAATTATTCCAGAGCTTATAGTTCCTGCGTTAATTATGGTATTTTTCAAAATCTTCCCATCCCAGTAGTTCTTATGTAAAATCAGGAATGGAAGGCTCAGTTCGGTTTTCTGAAAGAGAGAGATAGGGCAGTGATTACCAACTTCATGCATGCATTTCTACTGAAATTCAGGAATATATACTGTAGTTCTTCCAATGAGATTATTCCTCAATATTCATGCAAGGTGCCCCTTTTATTTCTCTTTTATTTGTAAATAAGAGAGCTAGACATTTGGTATTATTTATAGTCTGGACTTTAACATGTACGGACAGAATTAATAAAGTTAAATGTTATATGTAAAGTTCAATTTATGCATTTTAATTTTCAAACAGAAAATATTTCTTTGCAACAAAATTTCTGTTGCTGAAGCTCTTAAATATTTAACAAAGCTCTCAGGTTCATGTATATTCTTCTTCTGTACCTTCAGGTAGTCCTTGACTTACAACCATACTAGAGCCTGCCCATTACAGTCATAAGTCGTGAACAGTCCTAAAATGGGTCACCTACATGACCAACCCAATTTTATGACTTTTTTGTGGTGGAAAAATGAACGCAGCAATTGTTAAAGTGACTGCGGCAGTCCTTAAGTGAATCAATTGATAGCTATGGAGCATTTTTGCTGAAAACTAGACGTAAATGGCAGGTTTTGACAAAAATGTTGTAAAGTACAGTCATGTGCCTGTAGGACACTGCAAACAGCTGTAAATGTGGAGCAACTGCCAAGGCCTAAGATGTGGTCACATGAGTGGGGGGAGCAGCCACTGTAACTTCAGAACCAGGCTGTAAATATCCCCAGGGAGGTGTATCATAACGTCAATTATTAAGCAAACAATCATAAGTCGAGGACCTATATGTTCATTTGGGAAGCTTTGATTATTATTTTTAATTGTATAAATATATGAATTGGGAAAGAAGATACTATGTTAAAAAGGTGAATTGCTCTTTTAAATTCCCAATCAACCTCACAAATGTTCCTTGAGTATTATAAAATAGTAGCTTTTGCTTTGTCTCAACCACTGGATACACAAACAAAAAACTGCATTCAGATTAATGTAGTTGGAAATCAGCCAATATGTCTGAATTTTTCTCCCCCTGCTTCCCTAAAAAGACTGATGGATACTAGATAATTCTGCATTTTCTTTGATTATAAAGTAATTTCAAATATGTATCTGTAAGAATACCCTTTTCTTCATGCAGCAAAACAAGAATTCTACGCTCTTGTGAAAATCCTTCCACATTGCTGGTGATTATAATCTGCCAAAATCAAAAACAGAAAACCAACCAGCACCCAGAGGTCTGATAAGGATTTGTTATTTTTCACTTCTAAGTAACTGATCTAATAACACATAACAAAAATATTTTTGAAGCTTTGTTCCTATTTTAGACACCTTTATGGACTCATACTGAAGGGCCTGGCTGGATGGAAGGGTAGTAAGCTGAACAGCGAAAAAGAATTCAGAAAGAGGGGGGGAAAGCCTATTGCTCCATTGCTCAATAACAATAATATTCACAACTGAGAAAGTTGCATATCAGGAATGGCAAGTAGAGCTAAATCTTGTAACTCTTGCCCTACTTACACTGGAAACCCTCTGCAAATTCTGTGCTATTCCATTCTACAGAATAACAGAATTGGAAGGGATTTTGGAAGTCTTCTAGTCCAACTCCCTACTCAATCAGGAGACCTTATACTATTCCAGACAAATGGCTATCCAATCTTTTCTTTAAAACTTCCAGTGTTGGAACACCTACAATTTCTGGAGGCAACCCATTCCATGATTATTCTCACTGTCAGGAAATTTCTCCTTAGTTCTAGGTTGGAACTCTCTTTAATAAGTTTCCATCCATTGTTTCTTATCCCGCCCTCAGGAGCTTTGGAGAATAGATTGATCCCCTCTTCATTCTGATAGCCCATCAAATATTGGAAGCCTGTTATCGTATCATCCCTAGTTCTTGTCAGACTTGTCAGTGATATTAATATGTCATGTTAAATCAGTACTATTCCTCTGCTGATGTAGCCTAGAACTGCATTGGCTTTTTTGGCTGCTGCAGCACATTGCTGACTCATACTTAACTGGTTATCCACTAGAACTCCCAGGTTCTTCCAACAGTTACTGCTGTGGAGCCACATGCCACCTATTCTATCCCTGTGCATTTCGTTTTTCTTGCCCAAATGAAAAATCATATTTTACTTGCCATCAGATTCGATTTTGTTGGACAGGCTCAGTATTCTAGTCTGTTAAGATCCTTCTGGATCTTGAGTTTGTCTTCTAAAATATTGCTTATTTCTTCAGCTTGGTGTGGCCTGCAAACCTGATGAGTTTCCCTTCTATCCCCTTTTTCAAATCATTTATTAAGGTGTTGAAGATATTGGGCCCCTAGGGATACCCTACTGCATGCTTCCTTCCCTGTAATTGTAGTTCCATTGAGTACTACCTGTTGATTGAAATTTTGCCCTTTTAAAACAGACACATATAAAAAAGTTCAATGCTTTGGTCCCAAAGTTGGATCTTGACTTTTTTTTTTTAACACAACTCAGGCAATTGCTCTTGTTCCTAATCAGGTTTTATGGAGAGAATACCCTTGAAGATTTTCTTCACTGATTGATCTGTGGCATAACATTGCTGAATAAATAAAAAAAGAAATAAAAAGAAAAGAAAAATTTGGAATAAACAGATTGATGTGTTAAGAATGTAGAAACTTTTACAGGATTGTGTTGATGACAGATCAGTATGCAACTTTCTTCCAGGAATACCAGGAGGTAGGTTAGATTCAAAGACCAAGCTAATATAGCCCAGAGTCACCCTGTGATCCTCTGTAGTAGAAAATAGATTAGAAATTATTTCAGATCAGTCCTAACCAGCACTTCAACTATACACAATGCTTTCCATTACCAGTATTCATTAAAATGTTTGTTAATGTGACCTATAAAATCTGCAGATAGATTACATCTATAATACGCAGATAGATTACATCTCACTATTTTAGATACATTTATTTATGCTTTATTTCCACCTTTGTAACTTGTCTCCTATTCTGGATATGTCCAACGAAAGAAGCATACAAAAAAACAATGTAATGAAACTCGAAGATTATTCAACTTGGAAAACCCTGCCCATTCTCCATGTACTTCTTGCAGAAGAAGACTTAAGATGTTGCTATTAGATGGCCCAATTCAATCTTAGCTAAGTGGTGCCTGGTGTTTTCCAGTATAATACTGTCTGATTGACTGGAATTAATCTTTTAAGATTTGTGAAAGCATATTTCTCCCAGACCTAAATGCCAAGCTTTTGTATACAAAACATGCATTACTGTGAAAGAATTTCTTATTTTCATTCCCAAGATTCGGGAATAAGAATTAAGTTGCTCCTAAAGGTTCAGACATAACGTGTATATAACTCCAATCCATACTTTTGTCTTACCTTCTTCTTCTTTGAAGATATAAATGCACCAGCCATTGGGCAACAAAGGGCCATAAAACAGCAAAGGCTAAAGCACCAGGAGAAATCTCAAAGGGCCACCACGATGGTTTCTGAATGGCATACAAAATTCATGTTCACCAATAAATATTAAAGCAGCATCTGCTATAAAAATTCCAACATTAAATATTAAAATGTCCCTAGTAAAACCACCTATATAACTCAAAAATCATAAATAAGATGCCTATCAACTATTTAAAAACACCACCAAGATGACCATCACCTCCCAAGATTTTGGAATAATTGTTGTGCTGAAAAAAACTTAAGGATTACTGTATAAGTTTGCAACCATAATTGGTTCACGTTATCACTAGTGAACACTGTTCTCCTAGACTTCATCGTTATTCTGAAGAGATTTTTTAATATTATATGTACACAGTAAAATTATACTTAATATAAAACTATAGAAATTGTCCTGCAATTTGAGTATTTTCTCTGTAAGAACATCAACATTCAGAAACATTTAAAGATGTTTAAAGATGTCAGCAACTGCCAACGTAGCAACACAAATTTGTTTCTTATCATACATTAAAAAGTTTAATATGGTGTTTTTGTTTCATTTATTTTTGTTGGCCATTTTGGCTGAACGCTGACATGCAATCTTTGTACATATAGTTCCTGACTTCCAACTATTTATTCATTGATGGTTCAAAGTTATGACAGCCTCAGAAAAAGTAACTTATGGCCTATCCTCAAACATTATGACTTTCATACCAACCCTTGTTGACAAGTGATCACAATTTGGCTGCTTGGCAATCATCTTGCATTTATAACAATTGCAAAGTCCTGTAGTCACATGATTGCAATTTGCATTCTTCCCAGCTGGCTTTTGATAAGTAAAGTCAATTGAGAAAGCCAGATTCACTTAATGACCATGATAAAAATATCCCCCAAATCAGGTCGTTACTTGATGACTCATTAATGACATCATTGCTTAGGGTCCAAAATTCCAGTCCCAGTTATGATCATAAGCTGTGAACTACCTCTAATTAGGTGAAATAATAAACACATTTGTCTTCTCAAATAGTTAAAATAGCATTTAAAATGTTTTTTGGAATAGATTCTTAGATATTGTGGTGCAATAAAACCCTTCCATTCTAACCTGTACAATTTAAGAAAATTACAATAAAGATCAAAACTGATTTATATGTATATTAAGAAGTAAATTAAAATCTACCTTAACAGGTGCCTCAGGCTGATTATTTGAATGTAGTGTTGCCTACAAACACAAACCAAATAGAACAAAGTATTTAAAAACATGTTTCAAATTAAAACTTTATATCATGGCATATCTTTTGGGATCTGTCCAGGTAGAGTTTCTGCTCACATTTATTAAAAAATATGGCATATAAGAATTTAGCTTAAGTAATAGCTAATTGCCTCCTTATGTGAACTTCACTGTTCTCTCTTTGTCTCTATTACATTCCAGAATGTTTTTCCATCTTTCCTTTTCTAATTGGTCTGGACCTTACAGATAGTTCTGTAACAAAATAAACTATAAGAACATTATTTTCACTTTGATTAAATAGTTTAAATACTGCAATTCATAAAAGAATTAGAATAGTAAATAGTAAAAAAAACCCTGTTTTTCAAAAATGTCTTCTGTCTCTATTTTCCTTTTGCTGGAGTATGTGGATATAGGTGGGAAGTGGAGTCCCTCAAAGGCAAAAATTTTCTCCACTAAATAGTTTAGCTAATAAGCTAATAAGCTTCTAAAATTTAAGAAAGCTAGATAACCCATGTCATGTTGGGTTTTAGAAGTATTTCTTTTCCTAAACAGAGAAACAGAATGGATCGAGGGCCAAAAAGTAGTTGTAGCAGAAGCAACTTCCTACCGGCTTGATTGTCCTCTGGCAGCCAATGATGGGTCTAGTCTACCCAATCCCCCGAGGGCTAAGATGGGGCCAGTGTACTAAATCTGCAGGCAGTAGTCCATCAGCATGGCAGCACTGAAGCAGCTACAGATTTGCTAAATTTCAATCTCACATGAATGATGTTCCTGAATTTTGAACACATTGTGTAAGCCCATTTGAGGTATCTCGATTCAAAAATTGTCCTATGAAGCACTGTTTTGCCCAATTGATGGTCACAGTCAAAGACACATTTAGTAATCAACTAGACAATCCATGACCCATTGTTCCAGAGACATTTCCTTACCAGATTCAATAATAGCAGGGCTTCTAATGTATTGCCTTCATTGGAAAACTTCTTAAAAATTCAGGGAGATATTCAGAGATATACTTGCCTTGAAAATATCCCATATTGAACTGTACGGTATTGTATAGATAGATAAATAGACAGACAGACTTCCTTGGATACTTATCCACATACATTACATTTACCTGTGAAGTTGTGAGTGTCTCAAGTGCATGCAATCTCTGAAGAATATTCTGCATATCTTCTTGCAATCGTATGAGTACAATTGCGATCTGTTCATTGAGGGTGCTCCGTGGTCCTCTGTCTGAACCCCATCGTTCTCCATCTCCTCCACTGCCCATCTGTCCACCTTGGGCACCATCTCCTAAAGGATACATTCTGTGTCCTAAATTAAGGGAAAAATACTTTTAGAAGAAAAGTAAATGAATCAGAGCTACATATATTTTCAAAAAGACTTAATGGTGCTTGTACGTTGTGCAAAGTCAGACGCCTCTCTGCTTTCCATAAAGTAGGCTAACTTTTTCCAATTCTCCAGTAAAATGTGAAAAAAGATGTCACTACTTTAAAAGGATTCTTAAAGCAGTGCCATTTTTTAGACTTGCACAGAAAATTAATAAAGATGTGGCTGCTTTAATAAATAGCAGAGAGTACCAAAGCTCTATCCCGAATCATTTTCAAAGTGTGCCAGCCGTTAATATGTATTATATATAAATATAATTTATGCATCAACCATGCACAAAACCATTATTATAAGAAATGTTAAGAATGACTTTAAATATGCCTCATTTATGCAAGAGTTCCAACAAAATAAGTATTCCAATAATACCTCTTCCCCTTCGAGCTCCATAGAAGTCAACCTTTTCACCATTTTTCTTCTCTTTTTGAGGGCCTCCATCATTTGCTTTGGCATCTTCACCGCCACACTTGACTTCACCCTTTCCTTCAAGTGCAGCTTCCTTTATACTTTCTGCTTTGTGGTTTCCAAGTTCAAGAAAACCAGAAGTTTCTATAACATTATTATGATCTACTTCTGAGAAAGTTAATGGATGTCTGGAAATTTCCTTGACTGATGAGCTGATTTCTGGGATCTATATGTTTACAAGAGCAAAAGGCACTATTTATTTATCAAATTTATATAGCTGCCCATCTTACCCAAGGAGTCTCTGCTGCATAACAAACAGGTGGAATCACATGTAAAAACCACAGATTAAAAAAATGTAAAAAGTCATATTAACAATATATATTATAAAAATAGATACAAACCCTAGCTGAAGAGGGGATAAAAATAACCAGCCCAGCAGTGGAGAGATCTAAGCATTTCACTGGTTCTTTGGGAGCCCCAGGTGGGCTTAATAACATTATCAGATCTTGAGAGCCTTATGATAGATTTATCAAAAGTAATGGAACTAATCTAATTTTTGAGAGAAGAACGTTCCATGAGTCAGGTGTCATGGCAGAAAAGTTGTGCAATCATGTGATCAAAATTCAGGCACTCAGCAATCTGCATATATTTACAACAGTTGCGGCATTACTGGGTCATGTGATTGCTATTTGCAACCTTCCCAGCCAGCTTCCAACAAGCAAAGCCAATTGGAAAAATTGGATTCACTTAATAACCATATGGTTCATTTAACAACTTCAGTGACTTACTGAACAATTATGGCAAAAAATGTCATGAAATCCAGTGTGATTCACTTAACAATTGCTTTGCTTAGCAATGGAAAAGCAATTGTGGTGGTAAATCAAGAACTATCTGTATCTCTCTCATTGTAAGGTGACCTTAATTATCAGCCTCTCCCTTACTCTTTGATTTTAATTAAATGCAGGTTAAATGCGAAGCTGCATAGATGAAAACTATTACTTTTTTTAAACTAACATTATGCTTCAGAAAGATGCAAAAGCTATCCAGGCTCTTGGGAAAGTTTTATTATTGTTTATTAGAAACTGAAACTGATATATATCAGACCTGAATTCTTTGACCAGATGGACAATATAAGATAGTTACTGTTTACAGTCAAAAAATCATTTTGTGTATTTGTAGAATGATTATTATGTAAAGATTTTTTTATATTACAACATAACAGATTGCAAAATTTACCTCCTCTTGTCCAAATTGCTCCATTGAATCACAGTATATTTCACTATCTGAATCACTTGTCAAGAGTTGAATTCCAGACACTTCAGTGGTGTCTTCATTTTGACCTGTGTATACATGACCAAATACTTAGCAACAGTAGTGACTTAATACTTAAATATCAAAATAAAATTATCTAATCAAACATCAGAATTAGCATTTTTAACTTAGCAATTTGTAAAAGCTGAATGGTTTGCAAAAGAGCAGCTAGACAGAATCTTCCTTTGCAATGATAGTTCACAATAAAACAGTGCTGTTATATATTTTTATATCTGTGTGGATATGTTTGTGTGTGTGTGTGTATGCAAAATCAAAGGTAGAAAAGTTAATCTCTAAAAGATTTTTCACTCTCTACATGAGAGGAAAACAAATTGCACATTTTAAATATACAATTCTTAATTATGTTAGCCCAATCTTTTTCTTTGTACATGCAAGGCTTATGTATTTTCTAAATGGATAAATACCTAAGATATGCTCCCTCAGTCTTAGTCAATCTGGCCAATCTGGTCTGGGTGTGTAACCATAATCAGATTGGCTGGGAGTATGCTAGATTGAGAAATTGAACGACATCTTGAAAAAGACTTTATTCCAAAGGCAAGAAAAATCTGGGTTGGCCCATGCCATCACAAAAAGCCATGCTCAATTTGAGAGCATCTTTACCTTTATTCTATCTGAAGCTACGCTCCCAATTTCATTGTTTGCACATACACACTTGTCATAATTTAGATTCATTTTGCCATATCTATCGATACACACTATACAATGTTCCATATATAAATGCCAGTCTACTTTTGTACCTCCTTTTCTTCCGTAAGTGTTGACATTGTTGAAAGGGCAAAAAAATTAAGGGCTACCTGAAGCACTTTTACAGTATTTCTTTAACATAGGGTTGTATATAATATCTATAAATAAGTGTGTTTGCAGAAAAAAATATTCAACAAAAAGCTGACCGTCTTTTGGATGATAAAATTTAAGGAGGTTCCATTATTTGCCCATTATTTAAGCGGATAGAAGAGTAAGTAGGAAATATTAATTTTCCCACTCAAGCAGGAAAACAAACAATCAGAAATTAGGACTACTTGGTTGCAGTAAAAGGAAATAGGTGTTTATGGTATTGTGGCATGTCTATATGAAAGGCTATTTAAATTAATTCTTCATTTAAACTGGGCACCAACCCACTGTTTATTCTTCTATGTGCATCAGTGCTTGAAAACAAACCAAGCAGCCCCAACAGGAAATGTTTATTAAAAAATTATCCACACTGGCAAACATGAATGTGGATTTGGATAACAAAAGCACCTAAAGACCATACCTTGATGAATAGAATCCGAGTTAGGGATGACTGGTAACTCAAGGCACTTTTCACTTTTCTTTATTTCATCATCCACGCTGATGCCATTCAGGTTAGATTTGGTCTGTATGCCATTGCTCATGTCAATGTCAGAAACAGCATTACAACTGCCATTAACAACCACATCATCTAAGTCCTTATCAGGGGATGAATTTTGTTTCATATCTTCTTCTGAAAGTCCTAAGTATATAAATTTACAAAAAGAACCTCATTATAACATACTGTATTTTTACAAATGGAGGTAGTCTTTGACTTATGACCACAATTGACCCCAAACTTTCTGTTGCTAAGCAAAACAATTGTTAAGTGAATTTTGCCCCATTTTACGATCTTTTGTACCACAATTGTTAAGTGAATCACTGAAGTTGTTAAGTTGGTAACATGGCTGTTAGCTGAGTCTGGCTTATCCATTGACTTTGTTTGTTAGAAGGTCGCAAAAGGGGATCACATGACCCTGGGACACAGTGACCATCATAAATATGAGTCAATTGCCAAGTGTTTGAATTTTGATCATGTGACCATGGAGACACTGCAATGGTCATAAGTGTGAAAAATGTTCATAAATCACTTGTTTCAGTGCCATTGTAACTTTGAATGGTCACTAAACAAACTGTTGCAAATCAAGGACTACCAGTGCATTTTTAATTGTTGACCAATACATACAGTATTTATGAACTAAATATTTCACAAATTAATCTAAATGATCATTGATAATAAAAGTGCTTAAAACAGCTTGTTCTTTAAAAATGTATCAATCTACTATTTATATTACATCTAACAACATACATGCCACCAATTTTTCCAGACAGTCAAGGCAACATACATAGCAACTTTTTTCCATTTCTCCCACAACAACTTTAAATGTTGGGTTAAGAGACCATGAGAACTATCCAAATTGGCTCTAAACTTCCATGGCTGACCCATGGGTTTGATTTTTCCTAATAACTTGCTGTCTACACATTTTCATTTGGTACAGGAAAACTGAAATTTTAATTGCCATTAGAAAAAAAAGTGGTTACACTATACACTTATCTGGGAACAGAATCTTTGTAATTAGGTGCAACTGAATTCCAAGAATCCAACTACCCAAGTATAGAATTACAGGATTTACTTAGAAGCATTAAAATATTTCTCAATTGCCATGGCATAGAATCAGCTTACTTGAAGAATCATCTTGTCCCAATTACTTCAAACTGTTCCACCGGTTAGGCAGGAAGGGTGTGTTACCGACTCCTTTGGTTAAATAATTTTGACTGGTGGCATCTAGGAAGAGAGCTGCTCTACTCTATGGAAAAACTTGCATTCAGAGGTGACATTGGTCCCCACTTTTATGGCCTTCTGGAACAGCATGAAGATGGCTCTGCCAACTGGCACGAGGATTGAAGAGTAGCATGCAACTCCAGGTCTAGTGGGTGGCTTGAAAATGATCCTTCCACCTTTTAACTGTTTCTAAATTTGTTTTTATTTGTGTTATGGTGTTTTCTTATGGTTTTATGATTTTTACCTATAAACCATCCAGAGACAGTGAGAGGGGCAATGTCTAAATTTGATGTAAATAAATCGTTCTTTCATTTTCAATACATTATAATGTATTGATATTCAAGCTACATAGCCCAATTCTATAACTGCTTATTTGAAAAATGCTTTTTTATGTGCAATGAGATTAACTCATAAATAAGTGACAAAGAATAACATTCTGAATTATTCATTTATTCAATTCATTGTCCCTGCACTTTTATTTGCAATATTTCAGAAGCATTTGCCATTATCTCCTTCCTAGCTGAGAGAAAAAAGCTGACTTCGTGCCTAAAGCGGAATTAGAACCCACAGTGTCCTGGTTTTAGGTTTATAACTTTTAACAAATAGGCTCTCTTTCAGAAGTTAAGGGCTGAGAATTATCAAATGGGTTCATGTAGCTTATTTTCACTGGATAATAAACCCAAACTAATTCTTTATAATACTGGACTTATTTTATATATATTACATATTATAGGTAGAAACTGCACTTCACATGGAGATGAACTTCTGGAATCCTTGACATTGTTTAATCAAAGGAATTCAGAGACCACCAACTTAGCCACTTCAGATCAGCTGGACAGACACTATGGAAGACAGAAGGTCTCTCAAAAAACTAGGACCTACAAGTTAAAATATTGAAAATCTAATATAAATAAGAATCATGCTTTCTCATTATTGTTAGGAGAACACAATTATTTCCTAACAAGGTTTGCCAATTTTTGTTGTTGTTGTCCTGAGAAGCAGCTTTATCAAAAATCTGTGAAAAGGTATATGCTATTTAGAAATAAATATGTACCTTTATCAATCTGCTGGACAACTCTCAATTCTTCCTGTTGTGCTTCTTCCTCCGATTCTGCTCCACTGTTGTCGTTTTCTGATTTTCCATTCATAGTTGGCACAGCTTTGTGAGGATCTATTAAGATAAATTTTATTTACCTAAAAACTGTGGCTGTAAAATAATTATTTAGGTACCTAATTTTTAAGGTCGCACGATTGCTCAGTTGTTAAAGGTGCTAAGCTTGCTAGCTAGAAAGCTCACAGCCTGGGTTCAGGACCCGAATGCTGCGCAACAGGGTGATTTCTCATTCCTTGCCCCAGCTCTTGCCCACCTAGAAAGCACACAAATGTAAGTAGAGAAATAGGTACCACATCGGTGGGAAGCTAACAGCATTCCGTGCACCTTGGTGTAAAGCCATACTGGCTCCGTGACCATGGAAGCATCTTTGGGTAATGGTGGCTCCCTCAGCTAAGAAATGGAGATGAGCATCACAGGAAACCAAACTTTATCTAATTTTAATTTGGAATAATGAAAGTCACTTTTCCTTCCTCTTCAAGTCTACATTCTGTGAAATATCAAGAGGGGAATTCTATATTAACAGCGGCTATATAAAAATCTTTTTATCAGTATTATTCTAACTTGCACATAGGACATAACATTCCCTTGGAAATGGTAGCCGATTATTTAAAAACACAAAATTTACTAAAGTCTATGGAGAATCAAAGACAGATTATGAACGGATCTATAACAATAAGGGAAGTTTCTGAAGCTAACCACATTGTCATTAAGTGAATCCAGAATATCCAATGGATGTTTTTAGCATTTTCGTCACAAATTGTGGTCATGTGACTGCAAGATGCTGCAACCAGTTCTAAATGCGAACTGTCAAATGCTCAAAATGCTATCCCATGATTGTAGGTGTGTATATGGCAATTGTAACTTTGAGAACTGGCGGTAAATAGCTTTTTTTGAGGTCCATCATAACTTTGAACAATCATTAAGTGACCAATCATTAAATGAGGATTATCTGTATATAGTTCTCTATCGTTTCATTCATTACTATATAATATAATGGGATTTATTTCTACTACTGACTTTAGTACAATTTGTGCAGGGCTGTTATACAAACCAGAGTCACTGTTTACAAAGTGGCAAATTTTCAACTTTGTAGCATAACTTGAACATCTACTGTACTATGCCTGTGTAAATTACACCTTGGATCTTGTGCAACATGCTTTGCTATCTGTTTTTTTCAGAATTCAAAAGAATTTCAGGATAATTAAGGGGTGGATTAGCTGATAATATTTTGTACCTTAAATATCAGAGCGAAAATTGTTATAATGCCTTGGGCTCCTAAAAAAAAGGGTGAAATGTGACTGTATCAATCAATGTCATGCCTTCCCAAATACGTTAGCAATTTTTATAGATATATCTATTGGAATCAACCCTGATGTAATGGGTAAAATTTGCTCAGGTTTTTTTCCTTAGTGTCTTCTCTGATAAAATAATTAGCACAATATTTCACTTTTCTTCTTCTTGTCTAATGTGATAAAATGTGAGCAATGAAATGAAAATTACATTTTCACAAGTAGATGCAGAAGGCCACTACTCTATACAACTGCAGAAAAATTAATTTAATTTGAAGCAAAATCTGAGCATATAATGTATATAATACCAATAAAAATAATATAACTGTGGTTGATATTATATATATATATATATATAATATATAATTGTTATAATATATATAATAATTATATATAATATATATAATTGTTCTGCCTGGTCCCATTCTTTTTTAAACTATCATTGTCCAATCTATAAATTCTCGATGATCAATTTCAAGTGATCCATTAAGCAGGAAAAAGGGGAAAAGGCTTAATCTAGGCTGAGCACTGAACTATAATTATTGAAAAACACATCATCATTTATTGACCTTTTTCTCTATTAGTACCATTGCTATAGCAGTCAAATTTTTATTTGTGCAGCTTTTCAAAGCAGTAACACCAAAACCAGGAACTCTTGTGCTAAAAAATAAGGATTAATTTAATATGGCATAAATGTGTATTTTTAATTAAAGTGTACTTCATCAGAAGCTGTAAAATAATATTTCATGCCTCTGATGAAATAGTCACACTAAAATTGATACCATTAAAACTTATGGCAGTGTTTCTCAACCTCACAACTTTAAGAGGGGCAGACTTCAACTCCTAGAATTCACCACAGCCAGCCATGCGGTGAGTTGAAATCTACACATTTTAATGCTGACATGGTTGAGAAATATTATGTTATATAAATTAAGCCCTTTTAAGATGCCCTAAGACTTTTCATTATATTTGTAACATTATTACTTTCTGTCAAGCAAAGAAACCAAATCATGCCTTACTTACTCCATATTGGAAAGTTTAACTATCTCTGTAAGAATTTCGTTACTGCTGAATATATCTCAGGAACAAAATAGATACCCTATTATGGAGTCATAAAAGCATTTGGAGTAGACCAAATATACAATACCATTATTTGGCAGTCATGTTTTTCCCCAAAATATTCTATTTACATTCAGAGGCAAGTGCTAAATTTCATACCAGGTATCCATATATAACATTTCACATAGCTAGGTTTTTTTTGCTATTTGATAACAAAAAAATTAGCATATTACAGACTTTTTTTTTCAAGAAGCTAAATAAGGCTACTTATTTTTAAAGAACAGGTTCTAGCTGTACATACTGATTTTTTTACAGGAAATGATCAGACAGCAAAATACTACTTTGGCTAAGGGAATTGTTTAAAAAAATTTTTTAATTTAACAACTGCTTTGCAAATGATCTGCTCAATTTATTTAGCATAGTTTGGCAGAGTAAAAGAGAATAGTGTTCTTAAAAGTAAATAAGACCAAAGTCTCTTTGACTTTTTTGGCCATGATTCGTTCATATCACTATAATACTGATAAATCAAGACCTATTTTCTGTATGTGTGTCTGTATGTATGTCTGTGTATCCTCAGGTAATGTAACTACAAATGCAAATTAGGAGAAAAGTATAAGAGAATATCTTAATTAAAGGCCTGAATTTACAGATTTTATTTGACCTACTATCTGACTAACTAGCATTGACCTTATGCACTACAAAAGTGGCACTGTGTTAGTATTTATATTTATACAAAGAATATAGCTAATGTCTCTTCCACATTTTTCTCATTGTATTGCTTAGAAATATAGCACCCAGACATTGCATAGCAAAGAGACATCACCTCCCCACATTCTGCCACACCAGCCCTCAAAAAGGAGATGAGAGGCAGTAAAAACTCATAACCTGAGCATCAAAAGTGGCTGCTTTTATAGAACCAGTTCAGTTAATAACTAGCTATTCAGTTAAGTTTTAACCTTCCATTGTTTTTTTAAATTGTGCAAACCCAGCTTGTTTGATTGGTTTGTGAGCCAACATCTTCCCCAAACCTACAAAATGAAATATTTAATCAAACTAAATATGTTATGTAAAATCCCACTCACCTGAGGCATGATAAGAAGATTGCTATTATTTTTTTTGTCATCATATGCAAAATATAACTAGCTATTAATAATAGAATCTGTAATCCTGTATTTCAGTTCATATTAAGTATCTTTTCAAATATTACATTTTTTGAAGGAAAAAAAAGATTTAATGGATGCATATATTTTTAGACCATGGGTACTCAAGTTTTTGGCTTGCTTGGGCCACACTGAATGAGGAGGAATTGTCTTGGACTGCATATAAAATATATTATTGTTAAAAATTTACAACCTTGTGGGGCTGCATTACTAGCTGTCCAAAGCCACATGTGACCTGCAGGCCACAGGTTGGACATGGCTGGTTTAGACATTATGAAAAAAAGGACTAGCCAAGATAAGGCAGAACAAAGCACATTTCCATGGAAGTTATGTCATGATAATAGAAATAAATGCATTTTCACAGGCATTATTAACCGTCTTATTTTTTGGATATTTATAATTTTATATAGTAGGATTGCAAAAATCTAAACAACCACTAGGTGGAAGATCAGAAAAATCTAAATTTTTGCTGCCATTTAGGGTAATTCCAGAACTTTGCAACTCAGTATGGTAACCCTACTATATGCATCTTTTTTCAATATTCAGTGGAATTTATTCTAAAACAAGTAACCAATAATCTTCAGTTAGCAACAGCAATTGGGAGTGCAATTTCCAACATTGAGGACCATATAGTAAAGCACAATGTCATGTGAACTAGCCACTTAGTGACTAAAATTTCAGCATTTCTGATTGCCGTTGTTAAGCAGTTCATGTGGATTATTAAGTAAGGACACCCACTGGTTACTATTTGATTTTATTTATAGGAAATTGTCAAAGAAGGTCACAAATGGTGATCATGTGAAGATGGGGATGCTGCAAATGCTAGAATTTTGAGGACCATTCATTATCATTGCTAGTTCAAAAGATTGCTCAATGAATCGTTGCTAATCAGTACCACAAAAAAGCTTTTAACATTATTTTAAATCACTGGTAGTACAAGCCAGACAAACAGCATTAAAATATAGTGTAATTTAAAATTAAGCAATTTATAGCTAATAGGTAAGAGTTGTTTTGTATTCCCACCTGTGATTAGATCAGATCCTTTATTTTTTTTATCCTCTACAATTTCATAAAATGGGCCTAAAACATGTAGCAGTTCCTCAACTTTGTCTGTCACTGGCATTGTTTCAAGAATCTGGAGAAACACAAAACATATATGAACCACATACCTTTCAGTGGTAAGTTTGACAATCACTGTGATGCTTTGCTCTGAACCAGTTCCACAAGAAGAATCTCTATAGATTTAACTGCAACCTCAAACAGATTTGGATTATAGCCAACAGTTATCAAAACTAAATTAGAAAACGTTACAATATTTGCATTAATCAATTTTATCTACGATTTGCTTTTAGAAGAGTTCCCAATATTTCTAAGATGTTGGCCTATTTGTGGTGGAATCTCCAGCTAGAGTGGGAGGAGGAGAAGACTGGCTAGCTTAAAGTCTTTGCACAGCAGGAAGCCACATGGACCTGACCACCACCAGAATCCATGAAACTCTTATCCAGCTACTGGCAAGATTCTTGTAAATAGACACGCAACAATAAAGAGGCAACCCAAACAACACTCATGGTACTACTCTGGTTCTTTCTATCTGACTTTTTTGTTACTTTCTTGCTTAAGAGAATACACTAACAGTAGTAATTAAAACACAGTAGTAGTGTTTTAATTATAGCAAAACATCAATTTACTGTACCTTAAAGACATAGTCTTTGCATGCAATGGATTACACTATTGTTTACATCATTTGGCTGTGGCTTCTAATTTTGTTTAATAAATATTACTTATCTGATTTTTTTTGTTTATTTTGAGCTTCTCTAAATAGTTTGTCCCTGACTAGGATGAAACCTAACAGATATCCATTGTTCATGAATGTCCAGTAAATCAGAGATTACATTTCCATGTTATTTTTCTTTATTGATATAAGGACATCATTACATAAATAATCTAAATTGACGTAATTGATGTAACCTGTTCTGGCTACACAAATGTCAGCAATTGCTATATTTCAAAAACAATCCCCTATACAGAAAAGTAGCTTGACTATCTTTTTTCTTCCTGTTCTATACAGGTGGTCCACTTATCTCTCCCATCAAACTTTGTTTTTGTAACCATCAGATTTCACAGAGCAAACTTTCTTCTCAGTTTGTTAAAACAAAGTTTTACTACAAAGTAGGATCCACTAACTTGAAAGACTCTATTGACCATCAATATAGATATATGGTAAATGTGAATACACATAACAAAAACACACAAATATATGAGGAATATCTTGTTTTGAAGGTGGTACTAAATGATATATCAAGATGTGTTAATTCACTAACAGTTATTCACAATTCCTGTACAAACCTAAGTTACTCAATTATATAGCTACTTGTCATTCCATGTTTTCTGCATATATTTGCCCTTCTATAGCTGGGCAATCATTAGAAACAAAACAGGTTTAGCTAGAAAATTAAGGATTTATCAGCTTCTAGTCTTGTAGTCATATGAATTCACACTCCCTTTCAATATATTAATATCTACTGAAAAGGGTATATATTTAGAATTTAGTGATACTTCCTTATTCAATTTAAAAAAATTGGAAAATGCTGCATTTCTATCCAAGTGGAATCAGACATACCAAAAATTCTGCAGAAGACATAAGATTTGATAAGCCACCAAAATGGAAACTGTAATGAGAGTCTTACATATTTTTAGATTTTCATCAGACATTTTCAAGCCACCCAGAAATACATTTCATTCAACAAAAAAATTGATGATCTTTAAACACAAATTTAAAATGGCATACATTTAATTTTATTTTGCTGTAAAAAACTAATTCCACCTCCAGCAATCCAGGGAAGGCTGTTTGCCTCAGTTTTAAAAAAAAACACTATACCCAATTTGGTGAGGTGAAGACATAAAAGAGCTAACAACAACATAGATCCCTAGATAACACACATATGTACTCATACCTACTATTTACTCACTACTCTCTCTTCTCAACTCTTCCCCACTGCTACTACTCCTACTACAGCTATCAGTACTCGTTGTGGGTACTGCTAGAAAAAAATATCTTTCTGGCTGCTTGCTTGCTTACTTACATCATCTTCTCCCTCCCTCACACTCAGTTGTTTTACAACTCAGCTTTTGTAATCAACTTTGCTGGGCTGACGCTGGAGAGAGGACTTAAAGAGAAGGAGAGAAGGCATCACAGGTACAGGCAATTTTCTGGAGAGTCTGCTCTCACACACATAAACTTCCATAATGGGTTATACTAGGGTTTATCACTTTTTTTATGGCAGCAATTTTCCTAATACTCTCAATATGAAGGCAGCTAGCTCTAAGATTAATGTCCATTAAGTAAGTTACAGAAATTTCTTCTGAAATGTAGTTTAAAAAAACCTAATTTCTGTAAAATGTATATATATTCTATCTGGGTATATAAAACAGCTCTTACCTTTTTCATTTCTTCAACATATGCAATCATAGCATCTTCTTTGGGCATTGTGCCCAATGAACTCCATGCATCCCTACAATGAATGTCACAGGGAGAACATCTTCAAAATACTGCCCTACTTTACTATGATGTAATAATATCTTCAATAATTAATATGTGAGCTTTATGTGTGTTTATTGCCTAAGGAACTGCATTTTTTTTTCAGTACAGAATCACATTGTTGTTAGCTCAATTTTTTTTAAAAAGGCAAAAAAGTGATCAAGCTCTATTTCAAATAGCACATACATTCATATTTTTGCAATAAAGTTTTTGTCCCTCAAAAAGTAGCCATAATAAGCAAAAATGTGAAAGATTTCTATGATCTCCAGAGTTTTCTGGATCAGATTTTCAAATACATTTTCAGAACTATGTGGAGATAGCAAGGACTGAATTTGAATTTGAGCAAAGGATGTGCTTTATTCCCAAGACAAATACTTTCCATACAAGGTGGGGGGGAGGAATAGACAAGGCATCACTACAAAGATTAAAAACATCTTTGTTGTATAATATTTACCATTTATATCTACCAATAGGATCCCAAAATCCAGGTCTTGGACTATTACAAGGTCCTTGAGTTGCTTGCTTATAAAAGCTATAGAATTTCAGCATCATTTCATTTGTTGGCTGGAAAGAACCTATGGGGAAAGATTTTTAGAGTGAAAAATAGTGACATAATAGCTTTAACACAGTGATTCTAGGTTATTGTAAACTCAAAATAGGCAATCATTTATGGGAATTTAAAAATGGTTTTATTCCCACTAGTTTCAACTCAAAGATCAGTTATCTTGCCTGTTTATTTTGACTTTAAACTCTGAGGAGATCTAATGATGAAACTACCTTTGCACAAATAGAAAAAAAACCCAATCAATATGAATATTCAGGCAATGGTATCAACACTATTTTCCATTTCTTTCATTAGAAAAAGTAAACTGTCCAGACAAGTATAAAAAAGGATGAGTGCTGCTATGTCTCATATTAGATTTGAAGTGGAATCCATAGGTAAAAGCTATATTCTAGTAATAAACAAAACACCATAAAAATTCAAAGCACATTTTACTAAAAAATGACAATTATTCTACTAACGATAAATCAGATTGTTCTTATCCCTATGACATAATAATGCTGAATCCCCAACTGTCTTTACCCTTTAGGCAGGTTAGCTGTTTTAGACCTATCTTTGACTATATGCAAAATTATGGCAAAATGGGCCAGTAAAACAGATTTTAAAAGTCCAAAGTCTTTATTCAAACCTCCCCAAATCTATTCCATTTATTTTATTAAGCTACCGTGTTCTCAATATCTTAGAAATGGAATTTATCATATTTATCTTGCTTACGACAGATGTACCATATATTGATAAAATACTTCCCATTTTACATTTATAGTTCCAAGAATTACTTGTAAAAACAATTTGACATATATATTGAAAAATGAGCTTTTGATTCCAAAACATGGCTTTACTTAACAAGAAAACCCAACCAAACAATATTACTATGAAGGAATAAATGATGGTTCTTCTAAATAAAGAAACACAGAAATAAAGTGGAGGCGTTATTTTCACAGCTAAAATCTTGTTTAGACAATTGCACAACTGGCAAGTGGTTGATTAATAAACAAAACTGAAGGAATGGAAACAAAATTTTGTACTTGATCTATTATTTCTTAAAATACTTTTTTAAAAATTCTACAAATTATGTTTAGTGGTGTGAATTCCTATGCTGTTCCAGCAGTTTCAGGAAAGGGTTGAGTAGAAAAGCAAGAAACTTGAAAACATATTGTTACACTCATAAGCCATTGCCTACACAAAATCTAATGAAAAGAAACAATGTATTCCTAACCTTAGTCTAGACATATGGGGTGCTAGCCAAAAAAGAATTAATTGAAATGTAAATCATTTAATTGTCAAAGAAATTGTAAAAATTAAGGCAATTTTAGATTCTGAAGAGTTGTTCTCATTCACGGTTAACCATTTTACATTCTACAGATATTCCAAACACTTTCTGCCTTCACCACCAACCACATTGTCTTCCCCACTGAACTTTTTTCTGAATTTCTAACCATTTTGTTTGAGGGAAGAATTCCTGAAGCTTAGCTTATAATTTTAAGATGATTGAATAAAAACGTTTTTTCAGTATAGGGAGGCCACACTTACAGGGATTTGTGCAGGAAAAGGATTTAGGACTTAGGTGAGGAGGCAGAGAAAAAAATGTTCTAACAAATCTATTCAGGTTAGTGAGAAATGAAAACACCCTGGAAGATATATATGGAATTGCTCCAACCAACTTGCTCGGACTGAAGAAGCTACTTGAATAAGCAGCGAAAGATTTGTATGAACGGGAAAAGTCCAGTTGCCAAAACTCAATTTCCAGACATTTTTTCAGTACAGAGTTAAGATTTTTATGTTATGATTAATGCAAGTCCCTACTCAGCCTGGAGACATACATTGTAGTAAGTACACAAAGTTGGTGGCACCTAACTCTAGAATGGACAATTTTCCAGCACTGTGTAAAAATGTGATTAGGGTGATTTTAATCATTAATGCAAGTCAATGCATATATGGGAATTTGTATGGCATATGCTGAATCATAAGTGAACCACCTTGACTTGATTGACTGCATACACTTAAGGTAAAACATGGCTGACTGATTTGTAAGCCAGAGCGCTGTGTGAATCCAGCCTCAAAGAGAGATATTTGGTGATTTTCTATCTAGAGTGAGCAGTCTACCTTGGATATTCCAGATCTAACATAAAACTTCCTCAAGTTGTTCTTGACCACTTTGGCAATCCCACCTAAGCAGTTTGGTGTAGCCTTTCACTTCCCAGTCACCATGTCGTTTGAAGGGAGTCTGACCAGATCCAGCTCTGCTTAGCTTTGATACTACTCAAGGGTGACTAGTTATTGGCATCATTTATTGCAAAAAATCAGGAAAAAAGCGGACTCATCCATGTTTTGCAATTCCACCCCCCCCCCCACTTGCTCCGGGTCTACCTCCATCGTTTTCCTTCTACTTACCATTTTTGGGCAGGCTCTGGATCACCTTCACGGCCGCTTCGAAACGAGTCTTATGCACCGAGCTGTCGCCGCCGCTCTCCGTCTCTGCCATGGCCGGACTCCTGCTTCAGCCGAGTAGAATCGCGCCGCCACCGCTTTCCTAGTCGGCTGTGGGCCCCGAGGCCGAGGCACTTCGGGATCATCCGGCAAAGAGCAGGGGAAGGCGAAGGCCGAGGGGAAACGGAGAAGAGCAGTCCGCTTAAGTCAAGCCGGCTTCTCACGTCCTTTGCCCACCACCGCCCTCGGTTCTCCGTTTGGTCTTTTCTCGGCAGTACCTGCATTCCCCCAGCTCTCCCAAGACCCATGCTCCTGCTGGTCTACACAGCTGACGGTCGTCGGAAATCAACAGAAGACAATCTCGTCCTATTCCTGCACCATCCTGTATACCTAACTTCTGCAACTATCCCTACTCCTTACTTACCTTCTCTTTTCTATCTCTACTTGTATCTTTGCATATTAAAAAAAAAACTTTTCCCACACATCGAAGTCATTCAATCCAATCGTACTCAGGTTTGTTTAGAAGCTCCACTGACGTCTAAGGGGCTTTTCTCTCTGAAATTGCAGATAGGGGACTGCAGCTGTGCAGGTTATACAGACGACCCGTAGGCAATATAGATTTTAAAAAATGAACCTTTCCGACATGTAAACAGCACGCGCGTTTAGCTTTACTATCGGTACCCTTCTGATTCGGGACTTGTAACTTAAATTCAATTCCCAAACTCACGGGAAAGAAAGTTACCTAGGAAAGTTCAATTCAACCTTTGAGTAGTCACCATAGCATAAAAGCAGTAATAAAAGTTGATTATAGGCGAAATACTTACAGCATTGGGTGAGCTTCTCTGTAAAGCCTCTTTAGTTTCTTTTTTTTTTTTCAGCCCACCAACATTCTCCAAATTTCAATACGTTCTACTTTTCTTACCCACACTCCTGACTGAAACCAAAAACCTCAACGTAACCCTTATTCACCACTCCTCCGCATCATCAAGAATTTCATTCCACATAATTAATATTAACAATCTCGCGATGCAAACCTAACCAATCGATTTCCCAGGGCGGCTTGCATACCGGGCAGAGAGCTGTGTTCCCTTATCCTCACCGAACTGAACGCTCCCAAGTTTTCTCCTCCGCCTTCCTTTATTCCACGAGCGTTTATTCACCTATTACTATTATCAGGCACAGCTGGAGGGGCAATCTCTCTGCCAGATTGCCGACTCTACCTGTCCACTTGCAAGCAGATGGCAGTTTTAAGGCCAAATTGCAGTAAAATGTCCTTCCTCCAACTTTCAAGACTAAAACGTCATCCTCGGAAGGCCGAAGGCTTGGCGGCGTCAAGCAATAGCTAAGCTTCCATCCGATTTCCAATATTAAAGGACTGCTAATCGTATCAAGAGGCGACTTTTCCTACCTTGGGATGACAGGCTCCTCCAACCTTTGCCCACGGTTCAAAAGATCTTCTGTTATTGTCTTCCAACAGTAGCCTTCGACTCATTCTTGTCCCGCCTCCTAAAGAGAATTCTGGGTAATGTAGTCCACTTACTAGCACTTCCTGTTGCTGACATCCTGCCTACCGAAGAAATCTTTTTTTTTATAGATCAAAGTACTTTTTTCCCCCAGTCTGTGGATCTTTTATTCCCGGGTAATGAACTTTAGATGCTTATATGTATTAGGAAATGTAATGACTGATGCATCTTAACTTTGGGCACGTAGTGCATTTCATTGCAATGCTCCTCTGTGGTGTAATTTATTTAATATTGTTCCCTGGAAATTATAATGAAAGCAGCAACTGCTTTGTGTTTCCTTTTTTATCTTAAGCTTCTTTACGAATACAAACCACTCATAGTTACTATTCACTGAAGCAAAATTTAAATATACTTAATAAATTCTGAGTGACTGAAATTTAAAAATCTTAGCCAGCCCATATTGCTTTCCTTATTTTCCCTTAAAACCACCTATTTGGCACAGCAGATCCAACATCATGGAAATTCTCCCATTATTTTCTAGCAATAAAAATAAAAGCAGCAGCCCTGGCCAATTGGGAAAGATCATGAAACAACGAATAGTGGCACAACTTGCGTAGGAGATGCTAAGCAAATTTCAAGGCGTTTTGAAAGAACAACCTGGAAGATTATTATCCAGAAAACATCCTGGACATGTCAATACAGTAAACAGAACCTGAATTCACCTTGAAAGTTTCTTTAATCTTCCAATCATAATGTGCAACTTTTCATAGTTGCTGCCAGAAGAACTATGTCAGCCTGACCTCTAAAACATGGTTCAGCTTGGGTGGAAGAAAGCACTGTAGATAGTTTTTGGCCCACAAGAAAAAATTCACTCTTTAAAAGCCACTGGATATGAGTTAATGTAGAAATTCGTATATAATAGACAGCCAGTTTGACATAGTATTGACTTAGATACTGACTTAGAAACCAGGAGACTCTGAGTTCTAATCTTCCCTTAGGCATGATAGCTGATTGGGTGACTTTGGGCCGGTCACTCTCTCATCCCAACCCACCTCACAGGCTTGTTGTTATGGGCAAAATAGAAGGAGGAAATAGCATTATGTAAGTTCACTACTTTGATTTACAGGTAGTCCTCAATTTATGACCATAACTGAGTCCAAAATTTCTGTTGTTAAATAAAGACAGTTGATAAGTGAATTTTGTCCCATTTTATGATCTTCTTGCCTTTACTTAACATTTGTTAAATAAATCACTGCAGTTGTTAAATTAGTAACACAGTTGTTAAGTCAGTCTGGCTTCCCCATTGACATTGCTTGTCAGAAGGCTACAAAAGGTGATCACATGACCCCAGGACACCACAATAGTCATAAATATGAGACTGTTGCCAAGCGTTCAAATTTTCACCATGTGATCATGGGGATGCTGCAACAGTCATAAGTGTAAAAAATGGTTATAATTCACATTTTTCAGTGTGGTTGCAACTTTGAATGGTCACTAAATGAATGGCTGCAAGACGATGATTACCTGTACTTATAAAAGTAATAAAGGTGGGATTAAAAAAAAACCTAATAAATAGAAATAAAATCAGATATATTTTTTTTTGCTTCCAAAGTACACGACAAAAAATATCTGCAGACGTCAGCACAGATTTTTTTAAAAAAAAATCACAATTTTTAAATAATAGCATAAAAGTTTACTGCTTCTTATCCTTTTTTGCATACCTTTCTGTGGCAATCATCATTTCTGGAAATTGCCAATTCAAGCTAAAATTATTAGCAGAATGGAGAAGATTAACATTTTGTTACTGCCACAGAATTTGAGGTACATAAAAAGCAAGTTAGTAAATGGAAGAAAAGGAAAACTATTTGTTCAGCTGGTTACAATTTTGCAGGCCAGTTTATCCATGATAGGCTTATCTCTGAATATATACAGTAATTCAGCACATTTAAACCCTAATCAAACCACATACAGTTTAACATGGTATGCAAAGTAAGTCATTTTAATCATTAAAAGATAGCATGGAAGGTTTTGAATTCTTTCTTTGTACTATACCAGGGGTGGGGAACCTTGGCTTTTATGACTTGTGGACTTCAACTCCCAGAATTCTTGAGCCAGCCACGATTCTAGGAACATTATGCTTAAAAAAATGACACATTTTCAGAAAAAGGAAGAATACTGTAAATTTGGAAGAACATGGCCTCTGGCCCCTTTTGCAACATGGAATCCCTCCCTGTTCACCAATATTCAGTGGCAAATCTCCAGATTTTGATGCTGTGATTTTGGTTTTTCACACCTGTCAGAGACAAATCAAAAATTTGCACTATAAGCAACTATGGCTTTCCAAAATATGAAGAAGAAATAAAAACAGCTTTAGTTGCTCCTGTAATGTTAATATGTCATCACTGGACCCTTGTGGCCCTCCAAAACTTAAAAAAAATATTTTTGTTTGTCTATTAAAGTCTCTGTAGCAACTGAATCTTTATTAATTTACATGTGGTATAATATATGTGGTATAATATACCACATGTAAACTAATAAGATGTCATCTTGTGGTTATGAGCTGTAATTGCAAGGAGAGAATAGAATAAAATAGAATAGAATAACAGAGTTGGAAAGGACCTTGTAGGTAGGTCATCTAATCCAGGGCTTTTCAACCTTTTCACAGATTGTACCACTTCTAGGACATGACAATATTTGAGTACCATCAGTGCTTAGCAAGGTGTCAAAAACTTGATGACTAAAAAAAGGGGGATTTGGGGTTTTACTGATTAGATTCATTTATTGTTATAGAAATGGCTAGTTTATAATATTAGGGAAAAGTAAAAAGTTGAGGTTCAATGTTAATGCTTCCTTCTACTGCAACAGAGGAAATATGTTCTTTTTCCCTTCTCCCCCTCACTTTTTCCCCTTTTTCCTCCCCACTGTATCCTACTATTTGCTTTTGTATTTTTGTATTTTATTCTATAATCTAATAAAATGTTACAAACTGTAGAAAAAAGTAAAAAAGGACCGGTTTTAATTTCTTTGGTGGCTGTTCCTTTGCTGAATCACTTTCCCTTTGCACTGACAAATGTATGATGAATTTATCCATGTTTATTAATATGCACCAATACCAGCTAGCTCAGGGGTCTCAAACTTGGCACTTTTAAAACTTGTGGACCAACTTCCAGAATTCCTCAGCTATCATGGCTGGTTGAGGAATTCTGGTAGTTGAAGTCCACAGGTCTTAAAAGTTGCTAAGTTTGTAAACCCCTGAGCTAGCTGTTTGGCCCTTCTTCCTCTCTCCCTCTCCTCTTCTTCCTCCCTGCCTTCTGAGCTCTCCTTCCATGGTGTAGTAAGAATGCACCCCCAGTCCCTTCCCAGCTGCTGCTTCTTCCCTGTCTCTTTTTCTCCCTACCTGCCAAGCTCTCCTTCCACAGCTTCTTCTCCGTCCCCTTTTCTTTTCGTTGTCTTTTTTTCCCTTTCCCGCCAAAACCACCTCCTTTTATATCGTCTCCTCTCCTCCCCCCTTCTTTTTCTTCAGTTCACCTCCAGCTCCGCGCTGCACCTACACCATTTCTGACAGATGGCAGTCCAGTCTCTTTTTGAAAGCTTCCAGTGACGAAGCTCCCAAACTTCTGAAGGCAATCTGTTCCATTGGTTGATTGTTCTCTGTGTCAAAAAAATTCTCCTTATTTCTAGGTTGAATCTCTCCTTGATCAGTTTCTATCTATTATTCCTAGTCTGGCCTTCAGGTGCTTTGGAAAATAGGTTGATCCCCTCCTCATTGTGACAGCCCCTCAAATATTGGAACATTTCTATCATGTCTCCCCTGGTCCTTCTCTTCACTAACTAGTCATGCCCAGTTCCTGTAACCATTCTTCATGTGTTTTAGCCTCCAGACCCTTAATCATCTTTGTTGCTCTGTAAAAATTAAAATCTCTTTTGATATTTACATGCCAAGTATCAAAATAGCTGGTTGATCTTGGCAGGCTGATTAAATGTCATCAATTAAATGTCAATTCTCACCAACCACATAGCTAGATTGTCTTCCATAAAACTTGTTCCTAACCAGGTCTTTCAACAGTATACTCACTCATTGCCATCCTTAACTCCTTTTTCATCCTCTTTTCTTTTGTTCCATCTTTCACAGCGTTAGAGCCTTTCCTAGGTCTTCACATAATGTGTCTGAAGTATAATAATTTGAGCCTGATCCTTTGTGGCTTGAGTAACAATTCTGAATTGATTTCTTCAGTTGTTTTCTTAATTTTCCATTGTACTCTCAGGAGTTTTTTCCAACACCAAATTTCAAAAGCATCAATAATTTTGCTATCCTGCTTCTTCCAAGTCCATATTTTGCTTCCATAGATTATGATAGGGAATAATATGACTTGTACTATTCTGATTTTTTTAGGCTGCTCCACCAAGTGCTTATCTGTTCCATAATTCTTGAATAATTGCTCATTACTGTTGATGGTTGATCCTAAAAAGCAAAAGCTATCCAATGCTTCAACATCTTCATTGTCATTGATACACTGGCGATTGTATCTACTGTCATTATTTTGGCTTTCTTTACACATAATATTAGCCCCATTTTTTTCCACTGTACTCCCCCAGCTTTCATTATGGTATTACAATTTGCAGATCAGTATATATTTAACTATCAGAGTAATGATAATAACATAGTACAGATTATTGATATTTGTTCCTCTGGTTTTAAAACAATACTCATCTTCTTCCAATCAAGCTTCCTTCAATGTATAGGCTGGCTAATTAAAGACAGAGCATTGACTCACTCTCTTGCTGGCTGGAGCAGTCTGCTTTATTATTTTTCATCTGGAATATGTATTTTTGTCCTGAGTCTAAGGTTTACACGAGGATAAGAAGATATTATGGAATTCTAATTTTCCTAGAATATTCCATGGCTCAAAGTGATTGACACAATTTAAGGCCTTA